GTGGTATGAGGAAATTTTTTTGTTCTACTCCATTCACCCTGGGACATCAATCATCCTTTCATCTGCTACATCCACAGTGGAGTGCTGTATGTGGGAAATATTTGTGTTCTCGCTCAATATTAGTATTGTATATAAAGTCCTCCAAAAACTGGAACTTTTGTTGCAATAAAAATGTATTTAAAAGCATGCATTTTATACCCCCACATCTGTATATGATAGACTCCAGTCCTCCATCACTATACACTTCCATAATTGAGAAGCCATGAAACAAAGTCAACAACTGGTATGAGTTAGAATAGTCACAACAACAACAAATTACAGCACCATGAAAAAACGCCCCACAGAGTAACCAACACGAGTGACAAAAAGGAAACACAAAAGTCTCTTGGGAAAAAGCATGCCACTGTGTCATCCATGAGCCAGTGATGAATTCGACAAAAGAAATTATTTGAAATAAACAAAACTGAAATAAAAAACATCCCTCCTTCCAGACAAAAGATGGGTTCCCAGTGAAACTCTTGGACATGTGTAGACAATGGGATGCTGGACTGTCTGACATTGCCTGTAGCAGCAATATTGGGGTACACTTAAATAAGACACTGAAAAAATTATGACTCCTTATGAAGGACTACACCATTGCAGTAAAATGGGGAAAATCTGTCGGGGGTGGGAGTTTGGGGCGAAACCCAGCCTATGTAAAATTGTACCACATAATTCAAAATTCAAAATAAAAATATATTAAAAAATAAATAAAACATGCATTTTAATGGCATGCAAAGAAGTTATATATATCAGAAGTTTATATATCAGAAATTTAAGCTTATCACAGTGAATTGAATAAATATTTCCACTGTGATAACTTTGGGATAAATAGTAAGAAGGTGACAAGGGGAGAGAAAGGGGTTCAATTGGTGTCCTGTACTCATAGATCTGCACTGTGGAAGCAAGTTGAACAGTACTATAATACCAAGATTTTACAACAAAAAAGATATAACAAAATGTTATTTTCAGTAAGACATTTAGAGAACACCCAAGCTTTTCTAAAAAAAATGGAAAAACAGCTGTCACAATCTTTCCTTTTCAATCTTTATATGACCCACTAAAAATAACAAATTATTTGCAAAGCTAACACAGAATATGTTCATTACTAGAACATTTTTTTATTTAAATCAGGATAAACCAAATGAAACTTTAAACGGATTACTTATAAGTTATCTTTAGTCTAGAGTTTTACTTTCATTGTTGAATTTACTTACTAAAATAAAGCATGGCACTAATTCACAATGTCAAAGTGATTTTTAAAATGGAGGAAGGTTTCATGAAGTTGGTTCTATTGCTCCAGGCCTTTATTATTATAATGGATCATATTCATAAAGACATGATATTATAAACAATCGTTATAAAAAGCAAGGTCCACAACATAAATGATCTACCACATCTTTGTTATGAAAACTTCATTATAGCAGTGGCCTCATATTACAATTACCAGTTGGAAATATTGTTCATAATTTATTTTTAGAAGAAAAAAATCACTTAACAAGCTAACATTATTCTATGTCATCTTGGTCTTTATAACTCACTGATATTATTTTTAAAGGTTAAAAAGTCAAAAAAGTTTGATTTCAATCTGCTACTGATTTGACAAATGGTTTAGAGGCATGACCCAGGAAAATTATTCAGAAAGAATGCTCTATTTTCTCATTTAGGAGTAATAAGATGACAGTTATTTCAATATAATGATTCTAATAACATCAAGAATGTATAACCAGGTAGTAAAATCAAGTGTTCCTGGATTAAAGTAGAAATGGATTGAAATGAAAAACAGGTGCCATAATGCTGGAACCTCCGCAAAAATCATTACTTACAGTTGTGGAACTGACAGCAGCAAATGCCAATCAAACAAATAGCCTGTATTTAGATAACCCAGGTAATAGTTCAGTGGGGAGATTTGAAAAAAAAGAATTATTATTTCAATGCCAAGTCACGCTTACAGCTTTGAACAAGTAGCAAAACATGGGCATGTTTCTCAAATGGATTTCACAGCATCAGTGCAAAAGCCGGAGGGGATGGCTTAGTTTTTTAAGCCTCAGATTTGAAATACCTAGACTCCCTGCAACTACAGTGCTAAATCCTCTGTGGAACCACAGCTTCAAATGCTATCAGGAGAGACTCAACTCTTCATCCTTCTGAGACTGATAAATTGAAAGCCATAAAGTTTAGAGGGAATAGGAGGGTGCCCACAGCTGCCTGCGATCGCTGCTCCCCTGTTCTCACCAACTCCCACCTGCCCCTCTAACACACTCACACACACACACACACACACTCACACACACACAAACCACCACCCTACCACCCTGTCATTTAAGGATTCATTTGAGACTTTGTCCTTGGTAAGATTTGAAGCTTCTGTTTTTAAGACATGCAGAAATCGCACAAGCCTGCCATGCACTATCTTTACAAACATTTAAACCAAATTAATGCAGCTCAAGTAGACCGAAAACATAAGTTTTAAACTCACTTAATACAGCTAAGAAAATTCTGAAGCACTAACGTTAGAATGCACCACAGATATCTCACTAAGACTTTCTTCTTACTCTGGAAATATCGGTACCACAAATTGATTGTTTTGCTGTTTGTATGTTTTCAGACTGCTCCCTCCCTGCTAGCTAATGAAGGGTATTTAACAAATTTCATTTGTGTGTCTCAGCTGTGAGTTAATCATAGCTAGCAGCTTGCGATCCTAAGTTTTAAAATCCAGGTATTGAGAATTTTCTTAGAGTACTGCTAGTTACAACTAACTACTATTTAGGAACATAAATATTTTACCAAGCAAACTGTACAATGTGTTATAAATTTAAAATATTTAAATTAGTTGCTTTGATCCACTTATCTCTGCAATATAGTATTAATGATTTAAAAGAATGAAAATTGGACAGGATGCTAGAAAACTTGTAGACCAGTTTTTCAAAACCGAGTAGGTAACTATTAAAGATGTCTACTTGCATTTAGATTTACTCTGACATAAAGCAATGTCCAGTTATATTAAGGCTCAAGTGAAATGCTAAATGAGAGTAACACAAGAAAACTTAAGGCACTAGAATTCAAAGTATTCTCCAAGTGTCAGAAAAACAGTAATAATCCAGAAGGAATCCAAATATCAAAACTAATTTAAGCTCTTTAAGACATAGCTACTGAAAGGACTTTAAGCTTGGGCAAACAGGATTTTGGACCCACTACAAAACCACCAAATGCTAAGCCTATTGTTTACAACACCTGTGCCTGTATCAGAGCCCTTGTTCCCACTCCCAACTCCATCCTCCTGATGGTTCAAACCTAAGAGGAAACACACAATGGCTTTGAGTAGTTGGGTCCCTACCACCTAAAGGGCAGGTTCAGATGGAGTCCTTGACGCCCACCTTCCAGTTTCAGCCTGGCCCATCCCTAGTCCTTGCAAACATTTAGAGGATGAAGCAGTCTAATTCTCAAATAACTTTAAGAGCCACCAAGTAGAATACATTTCTTTGAAACCACAAATTATTTTAAATATATTCAGGGGTTTTGACATACTGAGACATTCTCACTAGTTTGTAAGCCATTTTCCTCCAACCAAAAGAGGAGACAAAATTCTCTGACAAGATCTTTGGTTTCAAGTAAGGGGAGAGCATTTTTAGGATTCAGGAGGTGGAAGTTGATGATTTTCAGCCAGAAGACACAAACCCCATGAAGGATCAGGAAAAGGCGAGGACAACAAAAGGCACTAAGGCCTACTGTTTATGCACTGTAATTTATACATTTTATTTAAGGCTTGTCCTAGCTTCCTAGGTTGTGCAAACAACATAGCTTCGGTGCTAAGGAAATCCATTCAGGAGACAATTTATGCTTTCCCTTCTTTCTTAACCTGTTTCAGCCATCTTTCAAATTTCACCTGGAGCTAGTTTCTGCTGCTTACTCCAACACAGATGATTTGTTTTTCTCTCAAATCCCACAGAATAAACTTACATTTCTCTTTAATTACATGTAACTTTTTAATGGCATCTCCTTGCCTTCAGATCATTCTTCTAGGCTATCTTGTGCTGCTTAAATTACGTATCTAATGCCCTAGCTACAGGAGCCTAGTTGCAAGCCTCACAACTCAATCCACCTTCGCTCCTTGGGTTCATATTTCTGCAGTCTGGATAGATTCATAGCTGCTCTTTGAAACTGTCTTCCAACATTGGCAGGCATTACAGAGTCCCAAAGGGATTTCTGGTTCATGGTCACACATCTGTCCAGCAACCAAATTTTCTAAATGAGCAGACTGTACCTTGCACGTAAAGGCGCTCTGCCTCCGACTCAAGCATTGCTTTTGCACGTAATGGCACCAGGCACGAAGGAAAGCAATGGCAGCAGCCTTTTCTGCCTGGAGGTGCATTTCAGTGGGCTATGTCGTGGGCAGATTTCTACTTCCCCAGACTTTCCCCTTATTTTCCAGCTTAGGGACTCAGAATGAAGGACGTCCTACAAAACTCTGGTGCGAAAAGGCCAAAAAAAAAAAAAAAGAAAAGAAAACCCTTAACCCTATCTGGTGATAAGCAAGCACGCTTCACTTCTGTTCAATAACCATTCCAGACCCCTGAAGCCGGGAAAGCCACAATTACCTGCAACGTGCCAAACTTGGCAAGTTTTCATAGAACAGATAATTAGTCAAAACCAAAGTACAGCCATGAATTACCTTAAGTTCCTGGGGTCATACAACCCAGGGTTGCACAATTTCATGCTGATTTTCCAATATGAAGCTCAAGTTGCCTTTGACAAATCAGAAAACAACTATTTGGTTGCTCTTAAAAAAAAAAAAAGCAGAGCAAGTGAGAGCTGGGGCTGGCGCGCCAGGGCGGCGGAGCTCGCGAGGGTGGAGAGTGCACTGGCCGCGCCCCCGGGAGCCGGCGTGGCCTCGGGGGCGGCGCCTTGCGGGGCGGGCGCCCGGCGACCGCGGGCTGCGCTCGGGGCCCGGTTCCAGTCGGCCAGCAGGCCAGCGCCGCCATGGCGTCCGAGTGGATCCGGCCTTTGATTGTAGTGCAGCTGCTGTTCGGCCCAGCCCCTGTGCGCAGCGGCGGCCTTTTACCCTTGGTCCTCAACACCTGGCCTTTTAAGAATGCAACCGAAGCAGGTGCGGAGCGGCGGGTGGGCGAGCACCGGCCACTGGCGCCGCTCAAACGAGGAAAGCTGGGAGGGCAGAAAAGGGCCAGCTGGGCCGGGCCTTGGCTGTTCCTGACTCGCAGCGATTTCTCTACCTGCCACTGCTGCGTTGTAGGTCCTTATTCTTGTCTCCCTGCTCTGCTGCTGACCTAGGGCCGCTCAAAGTCTTCCAGCGCCGTGTTCTGCTTCGCACCGGCTCTGTTCCCTGTCTGTCTGGGCCTTCCTCTCCTTTCTAATCCTTTGCTTCTCTCCAGCACCCGGTGCTTGAGTTTTGCTGAGGGCTAGTAACTGCCCAGATACTATCTAGCTTCCTGTTTGCGTTTGTTCTGGCCTGTGCTGGTCTTGCCACCTACAGCACAAAGTTCCTGAAATGGCTGCACGTTAAAAGTAGCTGCCTGGCTTCCCGAGAACTCGTGGTGCTTGGGCCTCTTCTGCAAATTTTCATTCAATTGCTAGATTCATGACATGTGTTTAGCTTTTGTGTTCGAAAGCTTCCCAGGTGATTCTGAGTTGTATTCAGGGTTGAGAACTGCAAAGCGAAGGCATGGCCTCTTCCAGGAAGCCTTCCCTATCTCAGTGCCCTAAAGCCCAGTCTCGGTTTAGGTTCCTGTGCCCCGAGTCTCCATAATCGTGCAGTACATACCATTATTTCACATTGAGTGTATGTGTTTCTTTCATTTACTTCAAGACCCACGGGAGTAATTTCAGACTTCTCCCCCCTCACCAGAGGTTGCCAATGTTAATTTCGGGAGCAGGATTGGACTCCACAGTGTGCTGGAGTTAAATTTGTATGTTATAGGCAGAACATAAAATTCAGAGAAAAATGAGTAAATAGGCTGTGAGATTCCCAGTGATTACGGGAACAAAGCAAGCTCCAGGCAGACTGGGGAGCAAGCCTACGCAAGCTGCTGGGAGCCCACTGAGCAGGGAGCGAGATGCTGTGTGGACAGGGGGAGCTCCGAGGTGTTCACACCTGTGTGTCTAGAATTGTGGAAGGAAGTGCTTACCAGTGGTGGTCCACACTTCAAGGAATCTTCTTTTGTTGACTTTTTTTTAACTTTTCCTCCACCGTGTATGGAATCTGCAGATCATAGGGTATTCCTCAGTGTGGCTGAAGACTTACTCCACAGTATCGCCTCAGAACCTGTTAATGAAGATTAAACGTATGAATCCATGTGAAATCACTTTGTAACTACCTCCCTGCTGTTACAGTGTTGTTGAGCCTTGCCGCTATAGGTGTTACTTCATAAATGTGCTATGCATATGCTTAACGATGATACATGCAGGGGAAATGAAGGCTGTGATTGATTTTCAATGCAATCACCTTTTACTAGTTTACTTTTGAATTGCAGGATTTTTAAAATTTTTCTTACGCATAGAAATAAATATTAAAAGTGAAAGTCTTTACTTGGCATCAGTGGTTAAGTGTTTGGATCCTTTTTTGCCCTTAGTAATATAATCTTGTCTATTATCATGACTCCTCTGTACTACTTGATAAATGGGATTATTGATCAATTAAGTTTATATGCGAGAAAAACTACGTGCACACAAGCCTTGCTGGGTTGTCATTTACAGCATGGAGGACCCTGGCCTCTGGTGGCTCCGCTCTGGATGCAGTGGAGAGCGGCTGTGGTGAGTGCGAGAAGGAACAGTGTGATGGCACTGTGGGCTTTGGAGGAAGTCCCGATGAACGCGGAGAAACCACCCTGGACGCCATGATCATGGATGGGTACGAGCACCCTCCGCGTTGGCCTCTGCACCTTCGCTTGCTCCTGTGTTATCTTTCCAGTTGTTCTACTGAGACAGAAGAATATGAGGGCTTTTAAAAAAATTTTTTTTAAGTAAAATGCCCTGACTTATTGTAATTGGCCTTTAAAAATACAATGAGATTCCCTGTAAACCAAAACATGAAGAATAAAATGTAATAAAAATGTCACATGGATGAGGGGGTAGGGGCATGTGGCACAGTGCGTGAGACAGCTGCATGCCATGCCGGAGCGCCTGGGTTCAGGAGCAGGCTTGTCTGTGGCTTCTAGCTTCCCGCTAGCGTTGGCACTTGGAAGCATCAGGTCGTGGCCCAAAGAATTCGGCTCTGCTCCTGGCTGCTGGCCCTGGCTCCTGCTGTCAGTTGACCCAGGCCCAGCTATGGTGGGCATTTAAAAGTCAACCAGCAGGAGGCACCATTTTCTTTTTTCTGTCTGCCTTCCAAATAAATAAAAGCTACTTAAAAATATCTTGCATGGAAGTAAGTAATCTCCTTAGTACTGGAAGAATCTCAAACTACAGAAATACAAAGATTCTTCAAAGAGTTCATGGAAAAATGAAAATGAAACTCAGTATGTTTTGATGTGAACAATTTTTAAAATTCATGCATAGTGTTTTTCATAATATGCACTTTCCATGATTTTTTTGTAGATCCTTTTAATATGTCTTTGGCCTTATAATCATTTACCTACCATCTACAAATGCTGTGGCTTGGTTCATTTAAAGTCTAAAAACCTCTTCAAAAATCAAATTTAAAATAAGCTAGGAGAAATTGAGGATTTAGTGCTAGTGCAGTGAGTATATGGTAAATTGATTTTCTGTTTTTTTTTTAATTTGTCAGATTGGGGGATTCTATATGAATTTCATGGCTGTGCTATGACTTTTGAATTAAGATAGTGAATTTAATACTACAAAACACTGCATGAAGCAAAGCAATTTATTTTATCTATGAATGTATGAGGATACTTTAATAAATCGTACTGCTTTCTTTTTCTTGCAGCACTGCTATGAACATAGGAGCAGTAGGCGATCTCAGACGAATTAAAAATGCGATTGGTGTGGCACGGAAAGTCCTCGAGCATACAACACACACATTTTTAGTAGGAGAATCAGGTATTTTTTAACTGCACTGATTTTTTTCCCTAGTCTTTTATTTATAGTCTTCACTGTGAAAAGATGGGACTCAGTGTAAAATATGAGGGTGGATAACAGGAGGCCTAAATTCAATTTCCAGCTGTTTCACTTAATACCTATTGAACTAAATACACTATTTTAGTTTCTAAATCTCTATCTTTAAGATAAGATTGAAATAGTTCATTATCTATAAATACTTGCTGGACTGAAAGAGGACTCAGCAGCAGCTGTCTTTTTTACAGGGTAAGACACAAGAAGCATTACTAGAATAAGAAGATAGGATGAGAAGGAGTTTGCTAGGCCAGTGTCACTTATTTAAATGCCTGCGTTAGACACCAGAAATGATACAATGACCTGTAACCAAAAATTATTCTCTGTGATATATCATGTAGCAACTTAGTAGGCTTCCTTCAGTTTTCTTCAAGTGCAGAATTATGAACGACCTGACCTGGCCAGCAAAAGGATCCGCTGCATCTGGCCCTTCACTCGATATTGCACATTTAGCTATAGCGGGAACATGCTGCATTGGCCCAAGGGTCCCTTTTCTTCTGTAAGACTGAAGGAGGGAAATTGTGGACGCATGCTGGGAAGGATGACAAAGCACATCTCCAAGGTCTCAGCCAGATTAGGGCGAGCATGTAGAAGCTGACATGTACAGATGAATTTCCTAAAGCTGTTCCTATCTAGTCTCTGTGCACCTCACTTAAAAAAACTGCTGACATAGATCACCTCTAATACATTTTAAGATGATATTTGATTAACTTACCATTTTCTTCTCAATTTGCAGCTACCAAGTTTGCGGAAAGTATGGGATTTGTCAATGAGGATTTATCTACCAGTGTTTCTCGAGCCCTTCATTCAGACTGGCATGCCCGGAACTGCCAGCCAAACTACTGGAAGGTATGTATACATATTTCATTTGAAAAGGTAAATTATTTAAAAATAATAAACAGCATCCTCCGATCTTGGTTGCTTGTGATCTAAGGTGCTAGTTAGCCTTGTGGCTGCATATTGGAACTATGTAAGTTTACTCTCCAGGAATGGATGTTCCTAGAACTCGCTAGTAGGTTTTGTTGCACATCCAGGATTGAGATCTGCCAGACTGAGGCCAGGATTTCAAAGTGAAGTTTCTGCTTTAGCAAAAGGTTTACCGCAGTCAGAACTCTGCATTAGTTTACTTACAACAAAGTATATCTGACATGTTGACCTTAACTTGAGGAGTTATTCTATTAGGGAGTCTAGTGTATTCCTGGTGGGATAATTTGTCTTTCATATTTCATGATAAATCAGTTTACCTTAGCCATACAGAGTCTTTGGGTTAGATTTCTTAGCTTCATCATTCTCTTCCCAAAGTCCTAATTACCTTTCAATAACCAAGCATTATGGGGTTAGAACTGGCAAAGAATAGCCATTAAACCAGAATAGGCAAAGTGCCTATCATCTAGTGCGCAAGTATAGTATAGGGTATAACACACAGGTGGAGCATCTCTAGTCCAAAACACAAAATACTCAACAATAGGTGTCAAACTAAGGTCACAAATAGAAAATTCTACCACCAGCCTTGTGAGATGGGTCACAGGCAAAACCCAGGCAACTAAAATTATTGTATAAAATTACCTTCAGTTAACCATATACATATATACAGACACACATGAGGTTGTATGAACCATTACTGATTTCATGTTTTAGACTTGGAACCCATCCCCAAGATGGATTGGTATGTATATGCAAGTATTCAAGAAACCAAAACTTGAAACAGTTCTGATCCAGGCATTTCAGAAATTTCAAGTACAGATTGGAAAACATTCACATAAACCTAGCTTTGGGAAAAAAAATTTAAAACAGATTGTGCTTTAAGAGTTCTTTGACCAAAAAATAGGAAGTAGTTCTTGCACCGAATAAGGTTGTTTACCTTGTAATTAGGTTGTATCCCTAATACCTTTGAGGATTAATATCTAATGCAAAGTTTCACTTGTGTTGCCATTGTATTAAAAATTTTAGCCATATACAGAAAAAAATCAAAGACCTATTCCATAACATATCGATATCTAACCCAAATTATAGAAATCTGAGACTAAACTGGATATTTAGTCAAATTATATATCCATCTGTTTTCACGTAAGACTTAACTCATCTTAAATGTTTTAATTCTTATCTTTGAATTACCAGATGACTTTTTGGCTCTTTGGTAGTGTTTAGTGATTTTACATAACCACTTGCCAATTTTAAAAAGATCCTTTCTAAAAAATAAACTTAAATCTTATTTATAGAATGTTATACCAGATCCTTCAAAATCCTGTGGACCCTACAAGCCATCTAGGATCTCCAAGCAGGAGGCTTTCGCCTGTAAAGATCCAGCAGCTGACTGTGGTCATGATACAATTGGTAATTTGCATTTTACAGTTTCCAGGGTTAGAAATTACTGCCTTCCTGTGCTCACTTTGTCACTGTTCATGTACCAGAAGTTTATTTCAATTGTTCTAAAACCAAAAATACGTCCATTTCTCCATTTTCCTGACATCTAAGTGTGTGTTTATACGGGGGTACCTCCAGAAGTTCATGGAAACAGCTTTAAGGTGAGCAGACTCACCTTAAAAAAATGAAATAAATAAATAGGCTTGTTTATGAGGTAATGCTGTGGTATTAGAGGTTAAGCTTCTGCCTGTAGTAACAGCCTCTCATAGGGGCGCAGGTTTGGGTCCCACTGTCCCACTTCTGATCCAACTCTCTGCTTATGGCCTAGGAAAGCTTGGAAGATGGTTCACAGAAAAGCAAACTCCAAGCTCCTAGTTTTGCATCAGGCTAGCTCTGGCTGTTGCAGTCATTTGGGGAGTAAACCACAGATTGAAGGTGTGTGTGTTTGTTCTCTGTACCCTGCATTTCAGAGATGGAAGAGGTGTGTATGTGTACGTGCGCACTCTGTACTCTGCATTTCAAGAAAAAATAAATATAAAAAAAAAACTGTTTAAAGATCAGAGAAAGAGAATTCCCATCTTCTGATTCTGAATTACTCTCCACATGTCTGCTGTGTGACCAAGAGTGGGCTAAAACAAAGAGCTAGGTCTGAATCCAGTACTCCCACATGGGTGTTAAGAATCAGATTTTCTAAGCCATCAGCACTGCTTCCCAGGATTTTCATTAGCTAGAAAATGAAGTCAAGAACCAGAGCCAGTTATTGAACTCAGTACCTTTACCACCATTTTACAAATTTGTTTTTTGTCATCTTCAACTGACCTTGAATGATTTTCTCCAAGCTCTAATGTTGAAAATTTCTACTAGTCTTTATCAGTGTTTTTCTTTAGAATTGCCTTTGAAAACATAGTGAAGCATAATTGAGCAATTAGAAGAGTTGATATTGGATGTCTACCAAATGATGCTGTGAAACCAGCTCATTGAACATCACAAATTATACCAGTGGTATATTTTTCAATATTCTCAAAAGTTCTGTTATTCTTCCCCCTATAATTATAGAAAGAAATATTTGTATTGTTTTCTTAATTGGTCAGGCTGTCACCAAATATCATAGACCAAGTGGCTTACAATCAATAACACACACATATATGTGATATTATGTATACATATCACACACGCACGTACATATATATTCTTGCAGTGTGCAAGCTGAGAAGTCCAAAGCTGAGGCACTGACAGATTTAATGTATGTGGAAAGCCCACTTGATACCTCATACATGACATCTACTCTGTGTCCTCACTTGGTAGAAGAAGCTAGCAGGCTTCCTGCTGTCTCATTTAAGGGTTCTAATGTGACTAATGGAGGCTTTGCCCTCATAACCGAGTCATCACTCAGAGCCCCACCTCTCTCTGCATATCATGTAGGTTAGAACTGAAACATGAGTTTGGGGGACACAAATATTCAGACATTAGCAAATACAACCTGTTGAACTGTCTGGTTATATTTCAGGGAAACTTTAGATATCTATCAGTCTGTATGCATATTTTTTTTCTTTTACTTCTAGGCATGGTTGTAATCCATAAGAAGGGATACACTGCTGCTGGTACATCTACTAATGGTATAAAATTCAAAATACCAGGGTTAGTGTTTTCCAAAGGAACAAATCTCTTAAGTGTATGTTGAACATATAGCAGTCTTTGCCATGGAGGATGCACAAGACAAAACAGAGCCCAAGGCTCATAGCTGAGATAAGTGTCAATGAAGGCATAGCCATTGCTTTGAAGGTCAGGGAATGGCAGAGGGGATATGAAAGCCAGCAGAGCAATGATTGAAGCCCTGAGTCCACTGAAGGGAAAGTGGAACATCTAGGCAAATATGCAAGCAAACACAAAATAGTGCACAATTCAGGTGCAGGGCTTCCACTGGTTAGAAAGAAGTTATATGTGTGTCTACACCCACACTGGTATAAGAGAAAGAAAGGAGGAGGGAGGTGGGATGGAGGAAGTAGAAGATAAAATGGTCGGGAAAGCCTGGGGCCATACTTGAAGAAGTCTTAAGTGATCTAAAGGAATTCTAGATGTTGAAACAGTAGAAAAACATTAAGCTTTTTTAATGAAAAAATTTTGATAACATATACAGATTAAGAGAAATAAAAGAAGATGAAAGAACAGATTGAGAGAAAATAATTTGGAACCTGTTGAGATCATCTAAGATTTAGATAATAAAAGATGGTAATAGAATAGTTACTGTAAGTGTGTGCCATCTTGGCATAAAACTGGATGATAAGCACAGTTTTAAATTATGCTTTTTGATTGAAAAGTAAAACTTATATATGTTTATGGCATACAATATATTTTAAAATATTTACACTACATAATTGTTAAATCGTGTTTAAAAGTCTACTGTCTTTAGCACAAATATAAAACATTATTTACTGTAGCCATCAGGATGTCTTGAACTTTTGCCTCCAGTATAACAAATTGTTCTGATGAGAATTTCCTTTACCTTATCCATTGCTCTCTGGTAAAAGTCATTTTAATCTCTGTTTCTATGAGTTCAACATCTTACAATCCACATCTCTTAGCAGATCCTCTTAATAATTGGCTTATGAAAATCTAACTTGAAATATTGGAAATCTTTTCTTGATCTGGTGAATAATTTACTTAAAACAGTAATTAATTGCCAAGTAAAAATATCCAGTATTGTTAAAACACAACATAATAAAAACAGTTAACACTGATCTCTGGTCCTAACTATTACACTTTCCCCTTGCAGTCGTGTAGGAGATTCCCCAATACCCGGAGCAGGGGCCTACGCTGATGATACTGCTGGAGCAGCTGCAGCCACTGGGGATGGAGACATATTAATGCGCTTTCTGCCAAGGTATAACTTCCTGTGTTGGGGTATCATAAAGCTCTCTGGAAGGTATTCTTCATCAAGACAAAAAAAAAAAAAATAATTGTGTCAGCCAATCTGAATATGTGTGCACATTCGCTGAGACAGAGATTGTACCTACTGATTTTTTTTTTAATCTGTCATTTTGATAATGATAATCACTCAACTTTGTAAACAGCTGTGGAATAAAATAGTATTTTTTTCACCCTGGTTCCCAGAGGAGAATACCTGTGATCTGGTTGAATAGTAGATGGAAGGCCCCTGAGGAAAGGAAGTATAATTGATAAAAGTAGGCATTAGTCATTGTAAGTAAGTATCACAACTACAATTGTGAATTTGCACAATATTTTCCCCTTTGATGTAAGCCCCCTTTTCTTATTTAAATATAAAATCCATTTTCTATTATTTCTACTATTACTAAACTATAGTTACTATGTCAAAGCCAAAAATAATAGTTCTTAGCTGGAAGTAATGGGTGGTGAGTTGATCAGACATTCCATCAAAGTTTCCTTGCTTTGGTTTTGCTTGCTTTAACAGAAGTTACTAATAACTGTTTCTTCATACTTGTTCTAGAAAATGATGATTTTTGTAATTGTAACTTTCTAACTTAGAGTATTTGAATTTGGATTTAGTATTTATTCTTTAATACTAAAGTTTAACCTCTGTTGAAATTAGCTACCAAGCTGTAGAATATATGAGAAGAGGAGAAGATCCAACCACAGCTTGTCAGAAAGTGATTTCAAGAATCCAGAAACATTTTCCTAAATTCTTTGGGGCTGTTATCTGTGCCAATGTGACTGGAAGCTATGGTAAGTTGTTAGGAATGTGTGTGTGTATAAACTATTCAAATGTATTAAAAATTTTAAATATTGCAGCATACAGTACATTATATACAATAGAAAAAGGGATTGTGTGGGGTTGGCACAGAGTATTAAGACCCACAAAGTGTTAAAACTATATGTATAATAATGTTTTAGCTGACTTCTGGCATCTACAACTCTGTCTATGGATATTATTTTGTATCTTTCCACATCTGTCCTAAGCTCCAGTTCATGTTGAGATGGGCTAAGCTAATCAAATGCTTTAACTAATCAGAAATAGAAAGGGATAAATTATCCCCCTACTTCTATTCATTATTTAAATGTATCAGCCATTTATATCTTCTTTGGGCTCTAAGGAACAAAATGTATTACTAAGTTTAAACCAAATAAGTTAGCAGAATTATTTTTGCACTGTGTTTGAGGAATGTCTCTTGCTTCATTTACTTTCCATATGAGCTAGCACAGTTTCAAAGCATTGTAAGATCAACTACTGCTGATTCTCATTAGTGCATTTTCAGATGGGGAAGATACACAGCTTACTGATCAATATGACTTATTAGGTTAGACTGCTTATTATTGTTCTTTGATCTCTTACTTCCCACAGTTCTGTATTTGAAAAACTTGTGTGAGGAATTCCTTATTCTTTTTTAAGTACTAAGATCAAAAGTCAATAAAAGTTACGGGAGGTGGGGAAGGCTTTATGTATAAAATGAGTTAGTCTCATTGATCCCCTCTTAAGAAATAACTTTAGAAGACTTAAAGTTGGATTTATCAGGATGGCAAAATGATAATTATATAAATGTAGATGAATTTAAAATTGACTAGTTTCTTATATTCTGAAGTAACGGCAGTGGAAGGTGCAAAGGATGATGAACTTGATTAGACAAAAAGCATTTGAAGTTGTTCTCACTTTCTCAGAAGTAGAGAATAAGAAGTAATGGTTGGGATGAAAGTAGGAGGTAAGCGGTGGTTGAACGATAGGAATGTTCTAATGGCTAGAGAAATAAAGTCTTTGGGAGTGTCTGAGTAATATGTACAAGAAAAGGATGTGAAAACAAGCAGAAACAATGGAAACAATGGTGGCAATGAAAATATGTATTTGTAACAAAAACATCGGACAGTTTTCTGACACTTTCTGATAGTTTTCTGTTCCACTTCATTTTTCTTTCCTTTCATGCACTGTTAGCTACTCAGAAGCAAAGGGAGTAACCCTTGTGTAACGTCCATAAGGCTTAGATGTACATAATGAATACAATAGCCCATGTCCCAGCAAATAATAACATCTATAGTGGTTGTAAATATATGCATCGTATATTTAAACAAACTTCTCCTTTTGTCCCTAGGTGCTGCATGCAATAAACTTCCAACATTTGCACAGTTTCATTTCATGGTTTATAATCCTCTAAAAAATCATCCAGCTGAGGAAAAAGTAGACTGCATCTAATCCATCTTTTCTGTCAACATCTATATTTAAAGAAGAAGGAAACAAAGGCTGAAAAGGTTACTCACTATCCCTGTATTGCATTCCTCACATATTCTCTTTGTATAAAATAAGCACAAATTCTTGCTGAAATAGCACTTGTTCAGTGTCTGAAACTTTTGCTATCTGTTTTTATTTAAGCATCATATATTTCAGGACAAAGAGTATATGTATATATTTTGTGTATGTTTAAATTTTAAGTAATATTTAGATTTCTGACCAAGAGTGCAAGAAATTGTTACTTCAAGGATTTTTCTGCACAGTGATATTAAGGCCAAAAATAAATCATGTATATTTGGATAATGAAAATAACTAAAGTGTGTGAGGTTTTTGGACCCAAAGGAAAAAGCAACAGTAAGTCTCAGAGTTTTGGTACTAATGGAATTTCAGTATGTTAAAGTGACATGTTTCTTCTAACTGATTATTTATTTTACCTAATAGCTTGAAGAAGAATGTTATTAATACAGATGCTTTTTGATTTCCATATATTAAAAAATGCAAAAAATCTTCTAATAGATAAATGTGTTTTGTTATTTTCTCCCCTCTTAGGAAGCTTTTAAGTTCTCAGTGTATAAAGGAACTTAAGCTGTAAATGTCACTGATCTTTCAGTTCGAGATATTTATTATGGATCTCTCCTTTTGGAAATGATTTTGGGGAACTTACACTGCAGTCTCATTGAGTTCTTGTTCAGAGAGATAAGATTTGTATTTTGAAATAAATCAATCAGTTGTAGCTCAGCTCGGCATTCCTGCCCCCACCTTCTGAGCCTGCTGAATGACTGACAGCTACCGGGAGGGTGGACAGGTGCTTTGTCAGCATCATCCTTTCCTTTCCAATCATCTTTTTAAATAGGAGTCAACAGTACAACTACATACAGTATTGTCCAACATTAGGATTGTGCTGTATTCTTTATTACAAACGTTGTAGTGTGTGATTTGGGAAGGGGGAAGAGTGGAAAAGAGTAGTGAACAGGGGCAGGACTGGTGGCCAGTTAGGGGAGAGAGCTCTAGTTTCTGGAATGGTAGAGGTCACTTGTCAGAACTGGCTACGGGTCTAAGTTTCCCAGGGAGCCTCTTTAAAGATTCCTTCTGCTCTCTATCCCTAATCAGATTGTATGCATGAGTCCGAAATCTGCAATTAGCAAATAATGCTGATAACGGTTTGACAGCTGATCAGGAAACACTCCCAGAACTTCACAGAGGGTAAAACAAGATGTCTTTTACAAGTTACCAAGATCTTTCACAAAAACTGGGTAACAAGCATTGAGGAAGGGAGGAAGAAGCTAGACTTAAACATGCAATATGTTTATATTAAGACATTACTCTTATCTGGGGTGACTGTTCTTTGTTAATAAGCTGGGCAATAGTTTACCTCCAGAAAAAGAGTGATGAAGGTAGTCGTGGCCTGCCACTCCCTGACAGATTGGCAGATTATGCTGATAAAAATAACCCACATGGTTTTAAATTTCTTCTTTTTAAGTCACATTCTTCTCAATGGACATTACGTTCCTGTATATCTTAGATTAAAAAAGAAAAAGAAAAGAAAAAAAGAAACTGAACTGGCTTTGGAAATGTATTCTTTAAGTTCTATATCTGATTATAATATTTGAACACTGTAGATGTGTTTCCTCTTTTGAAAACAAATTTTGGAATCCCTAGTGATGTGTACACATTGTTTAATCATGATTTGGTAACAGTGTGTAGTGGGAGAAGACATGTTGGAAAATAGCTGAAGAGCACAGTTTTGGTAAAGAAAATTTTAGGCTAACCACAAATAAGTTAAACTAATAAATGGTTGACTAAAACTTGGAAAAAGCAAAAAATGGAGAGTAGGAAGGAAACCATAGAAAATGCAATGACAATCTAATACTTCACAGTGGTTGGCAGCTCGCTGCATATGTCCTGGATGTATCACTGTACAGACCACATGGCTGTTACATAGCACAGGGTAAAGTCGATGATGATTCAGAGCTTTGACCTCATTCTGCCAATATCTTTTCCTTTGAATAGAAAACATCTGTCACTTGTGTACTACTTAGGTGAAATCAGATCGTCCTTACCAAAAACTACGGATTAAGCAACTTTCTTAAGTGATTCTGTGAATATTAATATTGTCACTTAGGTTTTCAGCTTTTCTATTCCTGTGTCAGAAATAGAGGTTTGTGCATTTATGTGTTTCTGTATAAACTGAGTATGTAGGTAGAAAATGGAAAAGATATGTGCAAAGAGGTGTAAAACATGCGGCTACAAGTAGAATGTGGTGCTAATTATTCTTTTCAGTTCATAACTTTGATTTCATAGAACATTACTAGCATAGAAGGGGATTACTGGACTGAAATTTGAGTATCATCTTAATTCAGTTTAAACCAACACTTAGGAGAAGGAAGTAATTTTGGTATCAGCAAATGCAAAACTTCCTCATTATTGCCCCAGAGATTGCAGATGAGTTTCTATCAAGTGTTTTGTATCTTAGTGCATGCAACAAGCAAAAAGAAAAACGTTAATCATGAGAGATAATAAAAACTTGATAATTTCATGTGCTTCATTTTTAATTGCTTTGGTTAGTCCTTGGAACAAACTTTTAAAACTTTTTTTGGCTGCTGAAAGTGGCCCTTACATCTTTTCTTCCCAGTTACAAGAAGAAAAAAGGAAATTGGAAGCAATTGTCTCATCCACTTTCTCCCATTCCTTGACTGTTGCTACCCTAATCATTGGTTTACGAGGTCATGCATCCTTCTCAATTACACAAACATCATCAAAAATAAAATCAATTTATCATTAAATAAACTTTTTCACTTCCTTTGTTTAAATGGGGCATCAATAATTTGTGACTTGATTCTAGTTTATACTAGCTTCAATATAACTAGTAGTCATGAGTCCTATTCACTAATTGTGTCCAGCTCCACATACCTGGCACACGGTTGTATTGCTGTTCCTCCGTTGTGATTTGGTGTAGCCATAGGATGAGTTGAGGTAATAAATTTTTAGCAAAAGTGGAGGTAGAGACTTTCTGGACTTTTCACAGTTAGCAATATAAAGTTGGCTGTCCTAACAGCTATGTCTTTCAGTGACTATGAAGTGCAGACTCCTTGATAACACATATATACCTGGAATGTGAACAGGAAATAAGCCTTTACTACTGTGATCTAGTAGAAAGCAAAGTGCAGCGCTTTTTGGTTTTGCTTTAGATTTTTTTTTTTTTTTTAATAGGAAAGGCAGATCTACAGAGAGAAGGAGAGAAAGAAAAAGTTCTGTCTGCTGGTTCACTCCCCAAGTGGCTGCAGCAGCCAGAGCTGAGCTGATCAGAAACCAGGAACTTCTTCTGGGTCTCCCATATGGATGTAGGATCCCAAGGCCTTGGGCCATCCTCTACTGCTTTCTCAGGCCACAGGCGGTGAGCTGGATGGGGAGTGGAGCTACCAGGACACAAACCTGCGCCCGTATGGGATCCTGACAGATGCAAGGCACAGATTTAACCACTAGGCTATCACACTAATCCCCAAAGTACTCTTTCATGACATACATAAAATATGTTTAAATTATTAAAATGTTGGGGCTGGCACAGTGGCACATAAAACTAATTTCAACCCTCTGGTGTTGGTATCCATATGCACACTGTTTCATGTACCAGCTGCTCTGCTTCCAATGCAGCTCTCTTGATGGCCTGGGAGAGCAGCAGAGAATGGTTCAAGTTCATTGGCCCCTGCACCCATGTGGGAGACCCAGAAGAAGCTGTTGGTTCCCAGTTTCAGATAAATACAGGTAGGTCATTGCAGCCATTTGGGGAAGAACCATGGGATGCAAGATCTTCTCTCCCATATCCCCCTCTCTCTGTAAAATCTGCCTTTTAAATAGAAATATTTTTAAAGTTTCCCAGATGTTATTAAACCTGTGACAAGAAAAATGATAGGAGACAATGTTTTTTAAAAAGTAAGCACACTTAAACTGATACCCACAGGAAATTTGTTAAAAGTTTAAAAGTTAGTATTGAGTGGAAAAGTTTTGATCACTTTTTTTTTAAAGAATGCCTTTATGTTTTGTGAAAGAATCATATATCCTTTTTGATGCCGACCATATTACATTCTCGAAAAAAGGTAAAAAGATCAATGCCAGCCAGGTATTAGAGGAGACAGAAGGGATGAACAGGCAAACCAAAATTATTTATTGGGCAGGGAAGCTGTGTTCTATTATACTTCAATTGTGGATAGGAGTCATTCCACATCATGTTATCTGTGAACCTTTGGTGATAATGCGTTAGTGCAGGTTGAAACAGATGTACCACAGTGGTGAGAGAAGCTGATAGTGGGGAGACCCTGAATGTGTGGGACAGAAGAAATTCCAATGCCTTCCTCTCAATTTTGCTGTGACCATAAAACTGGTCTTTGAAAAGTATTTTAAAGAAAAAAATTATACATAAGGAAAACTGGAATAGTGAATATTTTACAGCTGCATACATGCTAATATGCTTTGTAATAGTAGCAGCTGCATGGTTGAATACTTAATACTTAGCATTTTCATATGTATTCTCACTTAATTTAGCCAAACCCCAGTGAGGAAGGTAATATCCTTAGTTTAGAAATTTTAACTGCAATTCCTTTAAAAACTAGTGGGATTTTTAAAAATTGTTCAGGATTATTTTTCCCAAAATTGTTTCTATAATAAAGGTCTGAAGGCTTGGCATAGCTTCTTAATCCGGGGCAAGGGACATAATTGCTGTCTGATACAATTAAGATATTGCCTCCCTTTGATGTTGGGGCTCAACAGGTTCTCTTGTAGCCCCCTTCTAAACAATTAGGATTTCCTAAGCTTAGAGTCCTTCTGCTTTAAGCAAGCTTACTCTGTGCGTTGTGTATCTAAACCTTCCTGTCTTTACCCCCATGGAACTTAGTTGGGACCAAGCACAAAGGTTATATTACTTGCTGTGTTATGATAACATCTTGACTCTGACCCAGATGTCTCATGCTTTCAGCCAGTTACCATGAAACTGTAGTAGGCTCACTTGGTAGCTGCAAAATAAATTAAAATATCTAACTCTTGATACTGTCAAGAGTAATTAATAAGAAAACTTAATTTTCTGTTCCTTGTAGCACATACTTATGTGTGCATTTGAAGTGAAGCAATGTATTCCTGCAACAACAAAGACTACAGTTTCATAAGTTCAGAGCCAAAGGATGTAATAATTTAGATTCTTATAGTTTACACAGTGGACATTGAATTATAGAACTTCCAAAAGATCCATTCTAGTATCCAAGAATCCTATCTAAATCACTTAAATATTCACCCTTGTTTCTTTTTTCTTTTTAAAGATTTATTTTTATTATTTTTTTATTGGAAAGGCGGATATACAGAGAGGAGAGACAGAGAGAGAGGAAGATCTTCCGTCCGATGATTCACTCCCCAAGTGAGCGCAACAGGCCGATACTATGCAGATCCCAAGCCAGGAGCCTCTTCAGGGTCTCCCACGCGGGTGCAGGGTCCCAAAGCTTTGGGCTGTCCTCGACTGCCTTCCCGGGCCACAGGCAGGGAGCTGGAAGGGAAGCGGGGCTGCCAGGATTAGAACCGGCGCCCATATGGGATCCTGGGCGTGCAAGGCGAGGACCTTAACCACTGTGCCACCACGCCGGGCCCCACCCTTGTTTCTTTTAATAAGGTAGTAAAGTACTGACTAATATAGTTCAGGTTTTGGGTTATATTTAAAATGCTGCATATGAAGTAACTGACATATTTTACAATACCTCAATGCTCTTGCTTTATTCATACTATTAATAGAGTATAATTCTTTTATAAGATACTGACCTGAAGTTGTTAGAACACATAGTTCAAATACACAGAAACAAAAACATGTTTATTTGTAACAACAACACATAAACGATTCCTCTTGGTTTCAGAAATTAAATAATGGGCATAAAATGCTTTTAATTACTAGAGTATGATGTACTTCAAAACACATAATTTTTAGTTGTTCAATTTCTTTATAAGTGTCATTACTTTTGATGCTCTGCGATTGAATTTGGAACCAAGAACATAATTGAACTCATTTAGTATCTCTAATAGTATAATTAAATTCATTTGAATAAAAACTGATGACATAAATATATATATCTTAATTGGATACTAATTATGAAGAAAAATTAGGATCTGTTTATATCACTCCACTGGTCAATGTTTTGTTAAGATTTCTAGACCTGTAAAAAACATCAAAAAGGCATATTTAAAATGTTTGTTCTCTTGTATGTTATGTTATTCATCTGTTGGCATGCTTTTAACTGCTATCTTATGATATTAAAAGGACCTGATAATGAGCTCTACAAAAATATGAGTTGTTTGATTGTAGCTAATGTGTAATGGATGTTGTCCTATACAACCCAGGGTCAACCAGTAAAGAAGTATCCTATCTCAATATTTGGAGACAGCATACTCCTTTGAAGGGTAAATTAATTGGTACATTCAACGTGGACATAATAGAAGTTGAAGTTGCTTTGGTCGACATGTTTACTTCTTGGTAAAAGGGAAAGGAACTTATTTATACTTCTCAAACATGGAGAATGAACTAAAGGATTTGTCAACTAATTGAAGCTTGTAATCTTCCTATGCTTGCATTACATGTATTTCTTACTTTGTTTTCTTTAATTAAAATTCCATTATTTTAATGTGAATTATTCCCCATAATATTTCTAGAAAAATCAGATCTTAGAATAGATATGGAAAAAACAGAGGTCCTTTCTAATTGCTAGCAATCTGTATCTTTTCAAACTTGTGCAAAATCTGTAAGCACAGTAAGGGTCAAAAGTTATTTTCATTCCTAAATAAAACCAGCATTACTTATCTTACATTCCTGATGTGTTTATTATAATTAAAGCCAACTGAAAAGTAAGCCAAAGAATATTTCAGATTTAAAGAAATGTCCCATAATCCAAACTCACTCAATTTAGTTTGAAAGACTAAAGTAATGTTGTATTGGAACCACTTTTACCCAACATAGCTAACTGTTAAATTGTTTATTCCTTGAAATCAGTCATAGCTGGAGTGTTTACACTGTACACATCATGAAACATTTGAAGTGGTACTCTTCTCTCTAGATAGGAAGTTTTGAGATAGTATAAAAGTTACACACACACACACACACACACACACAGAGAAACTATGAAATTTAATTGCCTGTTTTTGAACCTTGATTTTGTCAATTAACTATCTAACCTTCAGCAATTAACTTACTTGTGACTCAGTTTTCTATAAAATGAGAAAAATTGTGATACAATGCAATGTTATGAATGTTTATGTCCCTCCTACACCAAATTCTGCATTTGAATCTAATACCCAGTGTGATAGTAGTAGTGATTAAGTCATAAGGGCTCCACTCTCATCAATGAAGTTAGCTTGCCCTGTGAAAAAAAGGTTTGAGCAAATTCCCTACCACTATGTAAGCACATAGCCAGAACCATCTATGAAGCATAGAGCCCACATCTGGCACCTAACTTTTAGGTGTCATGTTTCAGACTTCTCAGCAATTCAAAGCTGTGAGCAATGCATTTCTGTTTATACATTAACTGTCTGAACCTAGGCTGGGACAACCTTGTGTTTCCAAGCCCAGTTTCTTCTATCCAAGGCTTATTTATTTGCATACGAGAGACAGATTTATAGAGAAGAAAGGTCTTCAATTTGCTGCCTCACACCCAAAATGAGCTCAGGGGCTGGAGATGAGCCATTTTGAAGCCAGTGGTCAGGAGCTTTCTCTGGATCTCTCACAATTTACCAAGGACTTGAGCCATTTCCTGTTTTCCCAGGAAAATTAGCAGCATGCTGGATCTGAAGTGGAGCAGCTGGTACTCATACTGGCACCCATGTGGATGCTAGCACACAGGCTAAGATTCAGCCCACTATGCCAGGGTGCCCATCCACTCTGGAGCCCAATTTCTTTTCCTTTTTGAATACTTACTTAGTGTGCTTGAGAAAGTAAAGACAAACTTGAAAATACTTGAAAAAATAAAGTACTTATTTTACTTGACAAAGTAAAATAATCTCTCTAAATGGTCCCAAAGACCAGAGCTTGTCTGATTCCAAGCTGGGAGCCAGGAGCTTCTTCCTGGCCTCCCATGTGAGTGCAGGA